TAAGCCCAGGGAAGTCAAGGCTGCAGTGAGCTGAGATTGCACCACTGCACTCCAGCCTGGGCAACAGGAATGAGACTGTGTCTCAAAAAAAAAAAAAAAAAAAAAATTAAATTATGGGAGGTCCATGTGACAAAAAGCTCTACAGACTTTCAAAACAATGTAGGAAATACGTATGTATTGACATAGAAAGATATTCACAATATGTTAAATGAAAATGCAGGTGACTGCAATATGATTATTTCTAGTTAGTGGCTGTTGTTTGTCTTCATTGTGATTAAGAGCAAGGACTTAGGTCTAGCAGGCTGCCTGGATTGACTGGGCACAGTTACTCACTGGTCTGACCTTGCCATGCTCAGTGCCCTCTTCTGAAAAGGAGACGATAATAACATGAACCACAAGCAGTTGTGAAAACCAAACAAATGAATCGAATCCATAGAAGTGTTGAAAATGGGGCTTAGCACTTGTAAGACTTCAATAGGTGCTAACCTTCATTATTTTTTAAAACATCGTTAGTGAGATATAATTTACATATCATACATTTCAACCATGTCAATCAGTGGCAGGAAGTTCTCATGGGCTGCAGATGCTGGGCTGTAAGTAAGGTGCAGAGTATTCCAGATGCGATATTATTGTAAGAGGTCAGGATTCTGCTCTTTCTCCCGTCACACACCCAGAGCCTGACTACACTGAAGCACTAACAGGCCCTCTCTGAAGGCCAGCAACATCTTCACACCTGATCTGAGAGTGCAACTCTACAACCCACGTTTCACACACTGGAGACACCTGACACTGCTTTTGCCCACATTTTTTTTCCTTCTCTCTCTCTCTCTCTTCTTTTAGATGGAGTCTCGCTCTGTCACCAGGCTGGAGTGCAGTGGTGCGATCTCGGCTCAATGCAACCTCCGCCTCCTGGGTTCAAGGGATTCTCCTGCCTCAGCCTCCCAAGTAGCTGGGACTACAGGTGTCCGCCACTATGCCCAGCTAATTTTTGTATTTTTAGTAGAGACGGGGTTTCACCATGTTGGCCAGGGTGGTCTCGATCTCCTGACCTCATAATCCGCCTGCCTCAGCCTCCTAAAGTGCTGGGATTACAGGTGTGAGCCATCGTGCCCGGCCTCCTTCTCTTTTTAAAATCTGTTTTTTCATTGGGTTATAACTCTTATACAGTATACCCTATTTCCTTTTACAATTTAATTTTTTAAAGTCTGGCCCAATATACATAATAAAATTTACCATGTTAACCATTATGAAGTATACAGCACAGTGGCATTGTGTATATTCATCCTTGTTCTGCTCTTATCACACCATCCACCTCTGGAACTCTTCATCTTGCAGAAGCTCTGTACGCATTAAACACTAACTCTCATCACCTCTTACCCAACCCTCTGGAAACCACCATTCTACTTTTTGTCTCTATGAATTTGTTTATTCATTTATTTTGAGACGGAGTCTCACTCTGTCTCCCAGTCAGGAGTGCAGTGGTGCAATCTCCGTTCACTGCAGCCTCCGCCTCTAGGGTTCAAGCTGTCCTTGCACCTCACCCTCCTGAGTAGTAGCTGGGATTATAGGCATGCACTACCACACCCGGCTAATTTTTGTACTGTTAATAGAGACAGAGTTTCTCCATGTTGGTCAGGTTGATCTCAAACTCCCGACCTCAGGTGATCCTCCCGCCTTGGCCTCCCAAAGTGCTGGGATTACAGGCATGAGCCACCATGCCTAGCCTGAATTTGACTACTCTACGTATCTTATATAAGTGAATTCATAGAACATTTGCTCTTTCGTGACTGATTTATTTCACTTAACATGGTCTCAAAGCTCATTCACACCATAGCATATGTAAGAATTTCAATCCTTTTGAAGGCTGAACGATCCTCTATTGTATATCTATACCATATTTTGCTTCTCCATCTGTTAATAGATGCTTGGGTTGCTCCCGCCTTGTGGCTACTATAAATAATGCTGCTATGAACAGGGGCATACAAATATCTGTTTAAGTCCCTGCTTTTAGCTCCTTTGGGTATATGCCTCTGTTGATTTTTTTTTTTTTTTTTTTTTTTTTTTTTTTTTTTTTTGAGATGGAGTTTCGTTCTTGTTGCCCAGGCTGGAGTACAATGGTGCTATCTCAGCTCACTGCAACTTCTGCTTCCTGGGTTCAAGCGATTCTCCTGCCTCAGCCTCCCAAGTAGCTGGGATTATAGACATGCACCACCATGCCCGGCTAATTTTGTATTTTTAGTAGAGACAGGGTTTCACTATATTGGTCAGGCTGGTCTCAAACTCCTGACCTCAGGTGATCCGCCTGCCTCGGCCTCCCAAAGTGCTGGAATTATAGTAGTAAGCCACCGTGCTGGGCCTCTATACCTCTGTTGATTTTTAATGTAAAAATAACACGCCTCTATTATTTTTAATGTAAAAAAAATTAAAAAATAATTTAAAGTCATACACTCTCACTGCATTTGTACAACTCTATTTTCATTTCAATGCATCCTCTTTGGTGACTGTTCATATACAGGTATTTTTCAACGTAAATGCTATTATAATGAACCAACAATTTTCTGACTACTGTTTTTTAGGTCGACATTGCAAACAGAACCATAGACCATGGGCCTAAGCCAAAACTGATTTGTGACTTTATTATCTTGGAAAATAGGAAAGGGAAAACACAGCGACCTCTGTAAACATATATACGTACATACAAGATATATGCAAGGACAGAAACATATGAATTCAGAGAGGAAACTCACACAACATGTACTTAAACAACTGGTGCTGGACTTTGAAAGAATGAGATATGAACAAGACCTCAGAGGCACAGGCAGAGACATCTCACATGCACACACACGTGAATCTCAACAACACCCCTGTATGCCTAGAGAGTGCAACACACCAGGACACACATAAATGATAAAAAAATAAACTCATACACACACCTCACACCTACCAGGATCTTCTCCTGGCCCCCAAACTCCCGTACTGGCAATTTCTGAAGGCTGGGAAGGAGATCCTGCAAGAGAACTCAAAACAGCTCTGTGAACCCTGCCCTGGGCTCCAAGTGCCCGCCCACAGGCCTGTCCCATGCTCCCAGCTCAGCCTTGGCCCCACGCCTGGGTCTGTGCACAGCCTCAAGTCCAATTCACTGCCCCAAATCTTTCCGAGTCAGACCTGCTCCCTCTCAATACTTTCCTTGGACAGTACCTGTATCCAGCTCCTTCTGTCATAGTCATTCTCCCAGGGACACTGTGTAATCCACACCAGAAATTCTGCTGTGGGCTTTGGGGGCATAGGGACCCACACTGGGCTGGCAGTAAGGGGCCAGCAGTCCACGGCCAGTCAGCCTTGGGTCAACAACAGCTGAACTGCCTGCCTCTCTGGTCCCTCCTCCATAAAGCAGCAACGCAACAACTAACTTGTAGACACTGAGAACGTTAAACATGACCACATCCTTGAAGTCCCAAGCCCAGTCCTGGCATAGAGCAGCCTCACAAATGGTGTTAATCTCCTGCCCTCCATTCCCTAAGCTGTCAGATAGGGCAATGCCTAAGCCTGCATGTTTTAGGGGTTGCTGTGAGACAGGAAATTTTTAATAATTTTGACTAAGTTCTCCACATGTAAGATATCATGATCACCGAACTGAATAGTACTGGAAGCCAAAGGTTGTATCTTTTGAACAAACTGAGAACAATTGGTCTATTGACTAATGTATGTTGAACACTTTGTAATGCTGTAGCTCTAGAGCAGTAGAGTAAAGTTAGCCACGCTCCTTGGTTATGCACATCAATCATACACACTTAAATGCATTTATTTATTTTCCCTCTTTAGCCTCATCCCCTATTCTCCCATACATCCAACTCAGACATCTATTCTACTCTGTTCAATATGTACCATTTTATTCCTACTTTATTTATTTATTTAGAGACGGAGTCTCGCTCTGTCACCAGGCTGGAGTGCAGTGGCATGATCCGGCTAACTGCAACCTCCATCTCCTGGGTTCAAGTGATTCTCCTGCCTCAGACTCCCGAGTAACTGGTATTACAGGCTCCTGCCACCACAACCGGCTAATTTTTGTATTTTTAGTAGAGATGGGGTTTCACCATGTTGGCCATGATGGTTTCGAACTCCTGACCTCAGGTGATCCACCTGCCTTGGCCTCCCAAAGTGCTGGGATTACAGGCGAGAGCCACTGCACCCGGCCTGTTCCTAACTTTTTTATTATGGTAAAATATACATAATAAAATTGACCATTTTAACCATTTTAAGCGTACAGTTCCATGGCGCTGACTGCATTTACATTGTTGTGCAACCAACTCCACCATCCATCTCCAGAGATTTTTCATCTTCTTCCCCTGAAACTCCATACCCAGTAAACAACAATTCTCCCTCTCCCCTTGGCCCCTGGCAACCACTATCTCCTTTCTGTCTCTAAGAATTTAACTATGCTAGGTACCTCTGTAAGTGGAACCACACAATTTTTGTTCCTTTGTGGCTGGTTTGTTTCACTTAGCATAATATTCTCAAGGTTCATCCACAATGTATCATGTGTCAGCATTTCCTTCCTTTTAAAGCTGAATAATATTTCATTGTATGGGCCGGGCACAGTGGCTCACGCCTGTAATCCCAGCACTTTGGGAGGCCGAGGTGGGCGGATCACGAGGTCAGGAATTCAAGACCAGCCTGGCCAACATGGTGAAACCCCATCTCTACTAAAAATACAAAATTAGCTGGGTGTGGTGGCACATGCCTGTAATCCCAGCTATTCAGGAGGATGAGGCAGGAGAATAACTTGAATCCGGGAGGTGAAGGTTGCAGTGAGCCAAGATTGCACCACTACACTCCAGCCTGGGCAATAAGAGCAAAACTCCATCTCAAAATAAATAAATACATAAAGAAAATGTAAAAATTCCATTGTATGGCTACAATATATCTTGTTTTTCCACCCATCCATTGATGGACACTGGAGTTACTTTCACCTTTTGACTGTTGTGAATAATGCTGCTATGGACATGGGTGTGGAAATACCCTGAGTCCCTGCTTTCAGTTCTTTTGGGTATATCCCCAGAAATAGAATTGCTGGATCATATGGTAATTCTGCTCAGTTTTTTGAGGAACTGCCATACATACAACATACCATTTTCCTCAGAGGCAGCACTACTTCACACCTTTACCAGCAATGTGCAAGGATTCTAATTTCTTCACATCCTCTCCAACATGTTATTTTCTGTTTTTTAAAAGCTAATAGTTGGCCAGGCATGGTGGCTCACACCTGTAATCCCAGTACTTTGGGAGGCAGAGGTGGGAGGAATCACCTGACATCAGGTGTTTGAGACCAGCCTGATCAACACGGAGAAACCCTGTCTCTATTAAAAACACAAAATTAGCTGGGTGTGGGTGGCACATGCCTGTAATCCCAGCTACTCAGGAGGCTGAGGCAGGAGAATTGCTTGAACCTGGGAGGCACAGGTTGCAGTGAGCCAACATTGCACCATTGCACTTCAGCCTGGGCAACAAGAGTGAAACTCTGGAAAACCCTGTCTAAAAAAAAAAAAAAAAAAAAAGAAAGAAAGAAAAAAGAAAGAAGATAATAGCCATCCTAATGGATGTGAAGTGGGTCAATGTGTATCTTTTTATTTGTATAACTTCTTTCAAAATATATGTAATTATTTTGTGTATATGTAATTTGCTTTACATAGTAGCATTATGCTATTCATTTCCCTCTGTGTCTTACTATTTTCTCTTGGAACTATGTTTAAGTTCTATACATTTGTTTTGTGTACATGGAATTCATTGCTTCTCACTTTTGCATAGCACTTTATGGTATGCATGAATCACATCCATGTATATTGAGAACCTACTATGTGCTTGTGCCAAGCTTCCTATATGAGTGATTTAATCTGATTCCATACAGCAATCCTAAGAAGGTGTTGTAATTATCACATTTTGTGGATGAGAAAACTGACACACACAGAGTTACGGAACGTGCCCAGAGTCACACAGCCGGAAGTGGAAGAGGTAGAAGTTTAACCCAGGTCATTCTGGTGCCACAGAAGAGCTCACACGTGTAAGGTATTACAAAGAGCTATAGATAGAGATCTGACTGTAGACAGAGGCTCTCTCTTAGGTGAGGGCACTCTGATGAAAGTTCTAGTCCTGATTTGGCTACTAATCTTCACAATGCAAATCACCTTCCTTTACAGACATCACTTTCTGTCTGTGTAAGATGAAGATGATTTTATATGCTTTTTCTAGATTCACTACTTGTTGATTAAATACCCTTTAGCTAATGGGAAAATAATCAGAATTGAGGTCAGGTGTTTGTTTCTTTCGTGTATTTGAAGTGGCCCACCTGGGAGTCACTCCAAATATGTGAAAACCACTCAAAATACAAGAAAACCCACCTCATGAGGTGAACTGTTCATAGGATGGACTATTCCCAGGGAAACAGCCGCTGTTTCCGTTTCCATCCCACCTCTCTTGAACTTTGCACTTACCATGATGAAAAACTAACCGGGCTAATGTTTCCCTCCCAAGAACAACCTCTGCAAAAGCAGGCCTGGGTGGGCCCCAAGAGACCAGGTGCCAGAACAGAGTTTTATCCATCAAGAGTGGCCCACCCATTCACTGCCCAAAGTCAAGATCAACAGAACATGCAGGGTCTTCTCAGCACTGAGAAGAATCAGTTCCTCAGCCCTCCTCAGAGCTTTCTGAAACTGGACTTAGTGCCCCAGTGGAGGGACTTCTCTTGGAGAAACAGGCCTGAGGAGAAATAACTAGCCTAGAAATGGCACTTCTTAGACTTGCAGGTGGGTCCAGCACTATTTTTCCGCATGCACAGCTGTTCCTGTCACACAGATGCCAGCAGGGGAAGCGCAGGGAAGCGTGGTTCTGCCGCACTAACTAGCTGGCTGCCTGGTGATTTCTTCCCCTCAGGAAGATGAGAGGGCTTGAATGAGGGCCCCTTCCAATGCCATGATTTCAGAGGGTGAAGTACCTGTCAGGTCCTTCCACTACATGTAATCCTCAAATCTCTCTGAGGCTCTTCCTCCACAGTGCAAATCGCCTTCCTTTATCAGACATTGCTCTCTGCGTAACATAAAGGACTTGAACTAGAGGAGGACAGTTACAATGCTCTTTCTGGATCCACCACTCTGCACAGTGAGAACCGTTTACTCCATTCTTACAGCAGAGAGAACAGATGCTCCGCGAGGGGAAGAAGAGAAAGCCAGCATTGGAAGCCAGGCCAGTCACTGATGGATACTGAGCCCCTTTTACTTTCTGTGGCTACCTCTCAATGGTTGGACTTGTTCAGGTTAAGATTAACATTTTACTGGACGATGATGACTGCAAGGTCCCTGTCCATCTTTGCCCACTCTGTCACATCATCCTCATCCCCACCCTTTGATGCTTCTCTAGGCTGTGAATCCCTTGAAGACCTTCGTCTTTTATTTTGGAAGTTCAGGAACTGAGTAGGAGGGCTGCAACATAGAGCTGCTCCGTCAATGTATGTTAAACTTATCTGACCTCCTTTCACCACTTTTCATGGCATTAACAATGCAAACCTTTTCACATGAGCTTCTCATAGCCACCCTAGGAGATTGCGAGGGAAGCTACCTCTAGCCCCATTTTACAGGTGAGCAAATAGTCCTTGCAGTGTTACAATAGTGTGCTTGTGTAGAGAACTGTTTTGCAAAGAGCTCGATCAATGATGTCTTCTTTGCCTTCCGTGACCCAGGCAGCTGGGTGCAGTGTCAAGATCGAAGACTGAGGCGTCAACAAAGTATTGGGTTCAAATTCCAGCTCTGCCACTTGGAACCTTGAGTAAGTAATATAATCTCTCTGTGCCTCCGTAAACGTGAGGCATAGGAACATCTACCTCACCAACCATTGTTAAGATTGAATCAGAGGCAGGCGGGCTACCTGGAAGAAAGCAATTAATAAATCAGGATTGTGTCATCCTTGTCTCTCTTGAGGGACGGGAAGAAGAGAGTGAAACCTAAGACCACAGCGGCAGCGCGTTAACAGGAGGACCAGCAAGCAACGGAAGTCAGGTTGACAAGCCTCAGTTGGGTTTCAGGGATTCTCCTTTTCAGGCGGGTATTTAGGAAGAGAGAGGGTGAGGAGCACAACGACCTTCTGCAGCAGCAGCTGCGGACTGGCTTGTGGGAGGCGGTTCTCTGGGGCAAAGCAAGGGCCCCTGCCGCTTCTGGGCTGACTTTGTGGATTCCGCCACACCTCACAGGGCTTTGTAACTCCCCACCCACTTGAGGGTTTGCAGATAACTTTTTTTTTTTTTAAACAAAGCGGGGGTGGGGGGTGGGGGATTCCTGCTGTTAAAAACAAACAAAGGGCTTAGACACCGGCTAGTCAACTGCGGGAGGCAGCAGCAAGAGAAAGGCCAAGGGGCCTGGAGTAGCTCCTTAAAGCCGCCGAGGGCCCTGC